ACTGAAGGATTCAAGTTTGGTCCATCATTTGCAGTCTTTGAAAGGTATAAAGTATGTACCTTGCTTGCTTGTTTGTTAGATCCCTTTTTGGAGAAGATTTAGGGCTTTTAAGACATATGAGGTGACCAACCATGATTTGCAAACATGATTGGGGATCAAGACTTCAGATCTAGCACTTGGGAAGAGTCACAAGGCAGATTGGAGTTGCTTTTGCACTCAAGGAAGGTCCCATGCATTATAAGAACCAATTTAGGGCCTTTTAGGCTCAAAAGTCCCATGGATGCACGAGTTCGTAACTTTACATGCTAGATCGAGCTTAAGGACTTGCATATATCATTTGGTCAAGTTTTGTACATCAGACATCGAGGATTTAGGGTGTGGACGTTATCGACTCGACGAATCCGTTCTTGGGGCTTGACGAGTCCAAGGCATTAAGTCCCATATCTGTTGAGGGTCAAAAGAACTCAGTTAGGTGTTAAAAGGGTTGTAGCAGGTCAGAAGGAGTGACCCAACGCATTAGACTTAGTTTTAGACCTGGAGTTCATGGCACTCGACGAGTGCTAGAACAGACTCGGCGAGTCCAAGGCAATCTCCTTATGGTTGAAGATGAACTCGAAGAGTTGTTCATACAACTCGGCGAGTCAACGTCAGGACTTGTTCATCAGATGAAGGTGAAATCGACGAGTTGTTCATACAAATCGACGAGTCGGATGGAGGTTCATTCGATGATCCTAATGAAGAAGAACTCGTCGAGCCTTTGCCAAACTCGACGAGTTGAGTCATGGATAAGGACGAGTAAAAGGTTAGGGACTCGACGAGTTGACGACCCATGTAACAACGTGAATTTTCAAACAAAATTTTCATTTCATAAAACATGTTTTCATCTAAATAAAGTCATAAAATCCAATGTATCATAACATAATACAAATCATATAAATCCCAAGATCATAAATAAATCCTCCAATTGTGTGTACAGATTATGTAGGCGCCTTCCCATGGTCCTCGCTAGTACCTGAAACACATAACACAACAACTGTAAGCATAAATTCTCAGTGAGTTCCCCAAAATACTACCTTTGCACATACGCCCTTCTAGGCCATGACCTTCCAGTCCATGTGTCTCAGGGGACATCCGTCCCGACCCGGTAAACCTTCCGGTCCCACCCGTGTCGACCTTACGGTCCACATCTCAATGCCTTCCGACCCATAACATAAATGCCTTCCGGCCCATAACATAATGCCTTCCGGCCCATATCAAGCATAGCATACATAGCACATACAAACGGTTAACTTATTCATATACAATGCATACAACTCATAACATATCCGACCTTCCAGTCATACATAAATACCCTTCCGGGTACAGTATAGTGAGAAGACTCACCACGCAGGAAGTCTAGAATCTCATGTGCTCGCTATCTCCGAATCTCGAATCGAAGACCCAACCCCGCCTAATCATAACGAAATATCATTCCAATTAGTATAGGCTTCCAAGACTAGGCTACACCCGTTTCATTATCCCTCAGAGGGGTAAAAGACCATTTCACCCCTCTTTGACTCAAAGTCCACATGTTGACCAAAACCTAAAAGTCAACAAAAGTCAACAGACCACAGTATGCGGGGCGTACATCGAAGAACCACAATCGGGGTCTCAACCCCTTACGTTGCGCGTATTGGGAGTTACGCCCAACGTAATTCCCAGATTCAGCCATACCATATTTTTGGTCTAAAATGGTTAAGACACTTGTTCAACTTCTAGATCTGGCTCTCTTTAAGTCTCCTAACCCATAAAGTCGGAACCTTTAAGCCTTGTCATGGCTGTAAAGGCTCCTACACTCTCTAATACCTTTCCTTTTTAACTCAAAAGATCTAGATCTCATGCATGGCTAATCATTTACGTCCAAGATTACATTTTTATGAACATACAACTCGAATAGGCATGAAATATGATAGATCTAATCCAATGGAGACTACTTGCCCATAAAGTCTCCATCTTTGGGACCAAAACCCTAGAAATTGGTCCAAGAAGCATACCATAAGAACTACAAGGCAAGATCTGAACTTTTTACCTCAAGAAGAAGTTCCAACCTTTGCTATCCAAGGAATCTACACTTGTACACCAACTTCTAGCCTCCACAATGGACTCCTCTTCTGTTTTGCTACCTTGAAATAACACCTCAAAGCTTAGAACACTCACACTCAAGCTATAAATGAAGGAACAACTCTCTTAGGGTTTCTTTCTGAAGGATGGTGGCTGAGGAACCGAGCCATCTCATTCCTTTTATAGCCAACAACCCAAATTAGGGTTTTGGGTATGGACCGGTTACGCCCGGCGTAACCTTGGGTACGCCCAGCGTACCCGGGTGATAACGCGTTTAATGAGGCGCGCGAGTACGCGCAGCGTACTCCATGTACGCCTAGCGTACTCGCCCAACACAAAGGCCAAAAATGATAATTATTTAAAAGGTGAAGGGCTAATTGGTTGCACCTGAATTTCGGGCTGTTACAACCCAACTCGGCGAGTCGGGTCAACTTGAAGTTGACTTTGACTGGACTTGAACTAACCCTGTTTAGGGTTGCACGTTTTTTGTGCTGACTTGAAAGCTGTCGTGTAGGGATCGAGGAGTTCAAGGGAGTCGACTTGTATGCCAGGATAGCTCAAACACTGCACGACATTGAGGTGAGATACCTTCCAGTAGGGGTGGGTCTAAGGCCACAATGCCGACCCACCAAAGAGGGGTATTTAGAAGCTGATTGTCTTTGTGATAATTATCTTGGTCTGTTTATGTGCTTTGGTCATGAGATTTATCTGTATGATATGTTATGTGTATAGTAGGGATTAGTTTCCCTAACAGCGGTCCTTAGGACCGAAGGGTAGGTCAGTACCCGGATATGCCTGACTGTATTTTTATATCTTGTTGTTGTATGCTAGTGGTAGGTGGTGGAATAGTCCCCAGTTAATGGTTGAAACATACCGATGACAGTTACCGATTGAAAGATATCGATGATGATTACCGGTTGAAGATACCGATGATGTTTACCGGTTGGAAGATACCGATGATGATTACCGGTTGAATGATACCGATGGAAGTTACCGGTTGAAAGATACTGACGATATTGTATGGTATGTGGTATGATGGGGGAACTCACTAAGCTTTGCGCTTACGGTTCCAGTTTTGGTTTCAAGTACCTCTTCGTCTAAGGGGAAGGAGCCGGCGGCGTAGCATCACATCACACACACACACACATGATTCCGCATCAGACTTTCTGGGATTGTACTCTGATTTTAATTGTACTAATGATATGGATTTTGAGACATGACTTTACGATTTCCTTTATTGGCAATGTTTTGGTGTTATGACTTATGTTATACTTAATTTAAAATGAAATTTCTGGGCTTAAATTTTGGGATGTTACATTTTGGCCGTAGATGATTAAGCTGGTGAGTGTGTCAGGGTGCGTGTAACGTCCCAAATGTCAGGTAACATTATTATTCCATTTAGATTCATGTTTTAAGGACTACTCGACGAGTTGACGCTGTGACTCGTCGAGTAGCAGCGGGTCAAGACGCGTCATTTAATGAGTGACTCGGCGAGTCGGCTTGGGGACTCGACGAGTAGGAGCTGGCAGAGGAAATCCTAAATTTCAGGGTTTTTTCACTGTATATATTGAACCATTAGCACCTTTCATTGTCCTCTATCACCCTTTGAGAGTCAGAAACCCTAATATCTGTGAGTGTGAGCTTGGAGAGTGTTTTGGAGCTTTAGGAAGTGATTTTTGTGAAGGAAACTTGTAGATCAAGAGGCTAGCATCAAGGATTTTGTGTGGATCTAGAGTCTACTTCAGCTTGGGCACGTTTTGGAGGTAACAAGATTTTACCTTGGCCTCTTTTCTTCTAGAATCTTTCATATGTGAAGATTAGGGCTTTCTTTAGCTATTCATGAAGGGATTATGGTATGGGAGCTAGATATGAAGTTGAAACTTTAGATCTGAACCTCTTTTGAGCCTTAAGTTCATAAAGTTCTTAATAGGGTCATGAAGGAACCCTTGTTTATGAGTAAAGTCCCATTTCAAGCTTACATGTGGAATTTGAGTCATGCAAATATGTAAAGGTAGCAACTTTACGTTGCTAATGCACTCTAGGGACCTACACTACTAGAAAACAGCCCTTTAAGGACACGCAAACAATGACACGCGCTAATAGAGGACACGCATTTGTGCGTGCTCTAAAAAATAATGTTAGCTTTGCAAAATTTGAAGGATAGAGGTCATGCATTTATGCGCGCTCTCAAATTAATGTCCAAAAATAAAATAAAAAAAATACAAACACAGAAGGCGCTTATCTTTAACGTGTGTCATCTACAAGTGCCGCTTTATAATTTTTTTACTGGAATGCACGTTTTTAAAGGGGAAAATGAAATCCTCTCAAATTCTAAACTTTTGAACTACCCCGCTTCTACACTCTCTTCTCTGTATCTCCCTTCCTTCTCTCTGTAAACCCTAAGTCATCGCCACCACCATTGAACCCTAAGTCTTGCCTTTTACGCTTTCATATCTTTCCTTCCCTAATCGCCTGTATTTAATTCACTATTTTGGCATTTTGGTAAGAGCATAACGATTTCACTATGCCCTTGCTCACTTCTCCTCATTGACAATCTCATGCTCACCTAACATCAAATTCCTTTGTTTCCATCTGTTGCAGAAAATTGAAATACACGCTCACACCGTTTTCGATGCTCAGAAGAGAAAAAGGGCAAGCACCTTGGTCCTTTTTGCACACAATTTTAGGCACTATCAACCCACCATTACTTTCTCTTCCCCTTTACTCATCATCTGAGGTGATTGATGGAAGCAGATATTGGACGCTGACAATAACACCGCTCGCTCATTCTTCAATTTAATCCTTAAATCAACTTCAAATCTAACATTTCCTACCAATTTACAATCGTAATTTCGACGGCAGTGATCAACATCTCTCTTCCGCCGCCATCTTCAGCACCGATGGCACCGTTTGGACTAAGAGCACTTCCTTCCCCCAAGTCTCATGTGAACAGACACAACATCACCAAAATCCGATTGATGGGTTCGATTCGCCTCTTCTGGTTACACAAAGGTATGTTATGCTTACCATCGTTCATCTCCCTATTACCTAATATGCGACTCCCATGAAATCGAGTTGCTCAACAGGATGAAACTCAACATCTCCGATCCCATCTTTATCTGAGTTCGATTATTAAAAGCCAACTATAAACATCGCACCACATGGTCGACAATCGACATACTATCTTTCTCCATGTCGACTCCCTTTCTGTCTCTGTCAAGTTTTAAGGGCGTATAAAAGGGATATCAATATTGATTTTTATTGAACATTCACTTGATTTTTGGAGCTTTTTCACTAAAATATAGGAGAAGATGAATAATCTGTTTCAATTCATTCCCGTTTCCAGCTTCCATTCTCTCTTGCTGACCGAGACATTCAAGTGTATACATATTTACATTACGCGTTCATCAATTGAAACCCTAACCCTAGTTGTTCCTTAGTTATATGCACTGCACTATTTATGTAGTGAATTGACTTATTTTATGTGTCTCTCATCAGGCAATACTTGATGCGTACAAGGATGAAATTGCTAACCCTAAGTACGCATTAAAGTTTGTAGTTTGTTTGCTTTTAGCATCTTCAATTAAAAGTTTTTACATAGAATTCCAGATGCATTTGCAGAAGTTGTCACCTTTAAATTGTTATTTATCAGTTGTCGTGATATTCAACTTTGTTTATGTTCTACAACACTTACTGTTCAGTGTGACTGAACCACAACTTAGGACAAAGCCTTCTAGTGTATCAGATGTAAGTTTACTCGTATCCTTCATCCCTTCTTCATTATTTTAAAAACTCTTTCCATGGAGGATAACTTATTTGCATATTAGCTCTATTGGATTGATATGCTTCTAACTTAAAATATCCGATTATGTTTACTTGTAATTGATTTTTCTTGTATATGATACATGATGCTCCATGCTCCCTTAAACTATTTTGGAATTTTGATTTCAAATTGAATAGTTTATAATTTAAACATGTACAGATTTTAAGGGTCTATAGGAAAAACATGTTAATGGTAAGTGCATAAAGTTAGGGATAGGCATCTCCAAATCTAAATTTTTCTCCAAATAATCACAAAATCATAATCATAATCAGTTTTTTTAAACACTTTAAACTGATTAGTTTAAACACAGGTGAAATGTATTAGCTTTGACCTGGAAACAAATTGTTGGTACTTAAAATCAAAATAATTAGTTTAAACCCATGTTATATAATAGGTAACATTTTTTTTTCATTTCTGTATATAGTATATACGTAAACACACACTTATATAATTATATATAAGTTATAACATATAGTCCCTGAAAGTGAGTTTTTTGATTAACAGACCATCTTTCATTAGTCATCATCTGGTAAGTATCTTATCTTTATTCTTCTGTTTGTCCGTTTCTACATATCTAAACTATGACTCTTGAATATTTACATCTTTTTTATATATGGAATCTGAAATGTTCACGGACTAAATCACACTCCTTTTAGAGCTTGCAAACTGAAGAGGTGTAAAAGGAAATCCATAGTTTTCTACAGTCTGCAAAATGGTATGTACTATGTAGTAGTCCTTTCAATGTGTTACCTTTTTTTTAAATCCTTTTTTCATTTTTTGAACCTTTTCTCTAATCTATGCAGGTTGTGGATGCACCAGAGATTCTAGCAGTGATTGGAAAGATTCCATTTTTATCAGAATTTATGAACTCTCTGTACGAGTGTCAATATAAATCATTCTTCTCTGCTTTTGGTGAGTTTATGTTATAACTTTTACATTTTGATGAGGGTTATTTTGGTTGTGGTTTAATTTAATAATGTATAATGATATTTGTTTATTTGCAGTTGGGATCACTGAGCATATTAACTTGGATCGGTATTTGCATCTACACTTTTGTTTTTACATGAGAGAGATCAGGACAGTTGTGTATTCTCAGTTCCTGGAATCTTACAAGAGTGTCACCATTGAAGCCATGGCAAAGGCGTTTAGTTTATAGTAATGGTGACTATTTCATGTTTCTATGCTGAAACACACTTTAAGGTGAGACTTAAGCCATATGCATTGTACAAATAAGTCAAGATTATTGTAGTTTTTAGTTATGATGACTTGAGGAAAATCTAAGCTTTTGCTCCAAGAACAATGATTGTATTGTGGAGGGCTAAATGCAAGAAATAGCAAAATCTAAGAAATCGTTTTACACCTATTTGCCGACCAACCAAATCCAATATACTTACTGCAATCATTTTACTCTTTCACTGCAGGGAACAGGTTGCTGCTGTACTTGACATCCTATCTAAAAAACTACAATACAACTCTAGATTAGAGGTTTTTTTTTCAGCTTATCTATAATCCTTATCTCACTAGATTATAATAAAGATTGATTTTGATTGTCATTCAGGGACAAAACTGGGCTATCTAGTGAGTACCAACAAAAAGAGTCTTGATATCATCCAGGTTCTTGGATGAAGAAACCTTGTTGTAGTTTTGTGTCCTTAAGTTTTTTGATACTGAGAATGACCTTACCTATATAGATAAGCTAGAGGTATTTAAATACTTAACTTTTTTTTTTACATTGTTTAAGATATTTGAAGGTAACTGCATTAGCAAACAGAAGCATTGTTGGAATACAAAGTCAATTATGGCATATGGAGGCACACCTTTGGGCCCACCTGCAGCTGCAGGCAGTTCTCCTGTAATGAAGCAGGTGAAACTGGAGAAAGAAAGTGAACTCAGGATTGAAGTTAATTTTAACAATTCTCTTCACCCCAGGCTACTAAATGGGACAACTGAGATATTTGGGACCGAAATGCCCCCAAAAAATTGGCTCATCTTCCCACCAAGAATGAAATTTGCTGTAAACTCTTAACAACTTTGAAAAAAAAATCCACTAGGAATATTAAAGATCACTTGAATCTTGTCCTCTTATAATACTTATGTTTCCTTCTTTTTGGAATTTCAGATGAGGTAGGATATTATATCATAGTATCATTGTATATTTGTATTTTACTTGCCTAATGTAAAATGATATTAATTTTTTGTTTTCTATTTTGATATAAAGACACCAATGATCAGTTATGTAAACGTGCATGCTGTACTTGAAGGGCGTAGAAATCGTGCAAAAGTCTCTCCTAGTGATTCTGAAGCTTCCCAGGTTTCTTTTATCTTTCTTTCTTTATGCTATCAATTTTTAATAACATTTCCATGACAAAATAATAACTATTTCACCAAATTCTGTATTTCTTTGGGTCTCACGGTGATTATTGTGGGACCCACAGATTCTGGAAAGAGTTCATTGTCTAGAATGCTTCTAAGTTTTTTGATACTGAGAATGACCTAATCAGACACCAAAGAAAGAATGAAATCGACTTCTCACTTTTTTGTTTCCACTCCTCCGCTCGTCCACGAGGAACATAATTCCAACACAACGTCATATCAGAGCAATGATGTAGTCTCGCATCTAACCGACACAAGCTTCCTCTAAAGGTAGTTCGTTTTCCCCAATTAAATGGGAAATTGGATAATTCAAAGCTTATAATAATTTTAATTATGATAGAAAAAGAAGGATCAAAAGTCAATAATTAGCATAATTTTGATTTGTAGAAAGTTGTATCTGAAAGCACCTTTACTGTTTAGTTAATTACTGAGTAATGATACACCTAAAGTGTTCGGATACGTTCAAATAATGATGCACCTTTACTGTTTGAGTGTATTATATCATTTTTGTGACCATAAAATGTAAATTTGCACTAAACATGGGTAAATATGGTATTTGCACTAGAAGATAGGACTTTTATGTAGTTTTGAGTGTATTATATCGTTTTTATCTTTCAAATACGTGTATATGTATTGGCCTTAAAGAGTATACCAAAGAGTGAATAAATGTCTTTTGCTTTGTTCTTTTTGTAGTTTAGCGCATTGGGAATTCAATTGAGAAGAGGGATGCTGCTAAAGTTATGCCTGATGGCTATATGACACCAAAGAAAAAGAGAAAAAAAACACATTACAGTTCACTTGAGGTGTTGGTTGCAGGAGATAAAAAAGAGGATGATGAATATCCATTCAATAAGTATGATGAATTTCTAATTAATGACTATAAAGGAAAAGTAGTCGCTCCAGGTAAAAATGCAAGTTATTTAGTTGACGAAATCAGATTTTAGTTTGTCATATTATAAATATACTAAAGAATATGTATGTCATTTTGTGTTGGTACATACAGGTTAAGGTATAATGGGCACCTGTTTTTGTAGGAGCTAAACAACTTGAGTTTCTTAACAAACCATGGTGTCCTCTCACCCGTAAACTTAAAATATTTGTTGTTATTATAAGTCCATATATGTGTGTTTAAATGCAAGAAATAGCAACCAAATTTCATTTATTTATTTATTATTTTGAAAATTATTCTTAATATCAAATTGTGATGTTGTGTAATTATGCAGGCTTCTAGTTTTGGTTCAAATGGTGGTTTTACAACTAACATTCCATGTTTGATTCTTCTAATAATTATATTAGCATATTAATTTTTTGACTTTTATCTGATCAGGTCACAAGAATTATCGGAGTAGGATTCATTAGTCTTAAAGATTTATGAAAGGCAAGATGCAACTCTACTTAGTTGGAATTTGATGTTTACATAGATACCACATGATATTTTGCTGAAGTTGGTGCTAATTGCTATATATGTAGGAGCAGCATTGGGATCCTAATGGGCGTAATTTGTATGACATGAAATTTATGCAATGGATTGTATTTTTTGTATCTAATTCGTTTGTGAATTTTTGTTACAACTTCTATTGATTTGGTTTGTCTTTCCATGGAACGATTATTTGTATGACATTAAATTTATGCAATGGATTTTGTTTTTTGTATATGATATTTTATTTTCTATTATGAAACATTAAATACAAATTTAATTTGAAAATAAGCAAATCTATAAATATTTTTTTTAAACATTTAAAATTATGATACATAAAAATGTGTGTCATCTTCATTTATGACAGGGCCTTTCTTGACAGGGGCTTTCTTGATACACATTGCGTGTCATTAACACGCGCGTCGTAAGGTTACGACACGCGAATGCGTGTCGTCTTCCTTTATGACAGGGCCTTCCTTGATACACATTGCTTGTCGTAAACACGCGTCGTAATTGCGTGTCGTAATTGCGCGCCGTAAATGAGCGTCGTAAATGCGCATCGTCTATAGACGATGTTCAAAAGTGCGTCATCTCCCTTTATGACAGGGCCTTCCATGACGCGCATTTGCGCATCGTCTGAGCCTTTTATGACGCGCAATGAGCATCACAAAAGGCTGTTTTTCTAGTAGTGATAGATCTACTGATTGGAACAAAGGGATAGTTCAGAATCGCTTGGTCATGAGAGTAAGCATATGGACTCGACGAGCCATGTAGGATTTTGTCTAAATTAGTCCTGCATGGACTCGACGAGTTTTGGGAGATGACCCGGTGAGTCAGTTTGGACTTTCAAGCACTAGGTCGCGTATCGACTCGGCGAGTCTACTAGAGACTCGACGAGTCGAGTGGAGAAATAATGGAATCAGGAGGGACTAGAGGCAGTGAAAGTTATATTCAGCAATAGGTCAACATGGACTATTGACCATTGATTAGTGACTTGACTTGACTGTGGGATGCCTTGTACCTCCCAAGGGCATTTTGGTAATTTGAGTGATTATTGAGTGGACCACTTTTGGGTACTGGCGAGGTGGTTGGAGCTATATCTGGAGGTGTGGACAATATCATTCTGAGCTGCTAGCAAGGTGAGTTATCCTCACTATATATAGGATCTAAGGCACCAAGGTTGGCCCTTTTGGTTGTTATCTTATTTATAGTATGCTACATGTGGTTATGATATGTTAGATCGGTATCAGGATAGACAGTATGTTGTTATGCGCTTATGATCCATTAGGATTGGTATGTTAGTGACCTGGTTAAGTCGGTGCTCTGGTTATGAGAGATTGCTATGATCGATGATCTGTGAGATAGTTATATCTGATATCTACATATGCCAGTATATGTTAGTTGTATGCATAAGGTTAATTTCTTGATGTTTGGGTTGAGGCGGTCCTTCTTTGTGCTGAAGGCCAACATACCCTATGAGCGGTCCGGATAGACTGTAGGCTATATGGTGGTCCATTCATACCGAAGGCTCGGGATAGATCCAGATAGACTGTAGGTCCTGCAGGGCGGTCCAGTCAGGCCGAAGTCCTATTATGCATGTTATGATTATCTGTTATTGATTTGGTATTATCGGTGTGCTATTGGTATTTTGGGGGTAGCTCACTAAGCCCTCGGGCTTACAATTTTAGTTTATTGTTTCAGGAACTTCCGGAGATCATGGAAAGGCGAAGGCTTGACCGTACAACTCCTCATCCATATGATTATATTTCTGGGATAGAGCCTTGATTTGAGTGAATTGGAGGAACACTTGTGTGAACCCAGTCTCAAATCAAGGAAATTTTTAGAATAAATTCTAAAGCGGTTTTCGAAATAAGGGATGGAGGATGTGGAGTGTACAATCAACCGGAGCCAGTAAGTAGACCCCAAAATACCATACAGTTATTTGATATTATGATATGTTAGAACGACATGCTAGTGCTAGGCTAGGGATCTTCAGGAGTTTCATGATAGACTTGCCTGATTATATGATGCCTACTAGCCTAGGGTTTCTTTTATATGAAATTGACATCATTACTGTAGTTGTTTAGTATATGCATCACGGCCGTGCATAATCAAGATCTTATAGCCTGAGAATGTTTGATTCGACCTTAGGGTAGGATTGGATATTTGATAGTCTATCGAGTCCAGCGTTATGTGTGGCTAGCATACACTAATATTGCAGGGTTCGTGGAAGTTTCATGGATGGATGGGTCGCGAGAAGCCGTGAGGCCAGTTGTAAGATAGTTTCTCATTCCTCTAGGAGTGAGGGTTGAGCGCTTGCTATGTCGATGTCTATTGTTAGGGCGTTGTGGTGATACTTGAGACAA